GGGCCACCCGTGGGGGGCAGGGCCACCCGTGGGGCAGGGCCACCCGTGGGGCAGGGCAACCCGTGGGGCAGCATGTGCCGGGGACTGCCCAGGAATTCCACTTGCTCAGGTCCCTTGTCCCCATTTTGAGCCTTCCAAAGCCTCGGCCTCCGGAGCACAGAATTGTCACCGTCACAGTTCTTAGTAAACTGGGGGTGGAATTCCCCCCACCCCCAGGCACTCACTAGGGAGGGAAGGAGGGGGAGGGACCAGGGGCGACAGGGGCCACGGGCCAGCTGGGCCATGGGTGGGCTGCGGGGACAGGTGCTGGGGCCCCGGGACCCCAGGAAGTCTCTGGGGGCAGGCTATGTGCCCCCTCTTCCTCTCCATCCTTGGTTGGGGCCAGCCCGGGGTGTGGCAGGGTGTGGGCGAGATCATGCCAGACAAATCTAGGATGCATTAAGGAGTCTTTATTAACCAAGCTGGGTGATAACTAAAAATTAGCAAATGACAAATCCATATGGCAATTCAGTCTGAATCAAAGCCCCGAGAAAAAAACAACTGGTCATTACCCCGAAGTTTATCTGATTAACTGAAGACCTACGTCCCAGCGTGTCTCTGAGGGGCTTAGGGAACAGCCTGGGCACGCTTGTCTCTGAGGGGCTTAGGGAACAGCCTGGGCACGCGTGTCTCTGAGGGGCTTAGGGAACAGCCTGGGCACGCTCAGCTGCACTCACCTCCCCCGCCTCTCTGCCCACACCCCACTACTGCTGGCCTGACTCTCCTGGAACTTTTTTTTTTTTTAAGATTTTTTTTATTATAATTTTTATTGGAAAGGCAGATGTACAGAGAGGAAGAGAGAGAGGAAGATCTTCCGTCCAATGACTCACTCCCCAAGCGGCCGCAACTACCAGAGCTGCGCTGATCCAAAGCCAAGAGCCCAGATCCTTTTCTGGGTCCCCCACCCGGGTGCAGGGTCCCAAGGCTTTGGGCTGTCCTCGACTGCTTTCCCAGGCCACAGGCAGGGAGCTGGATGGGACGTAGAGCAGCTGGGATTAGAACTGGCTCTCATATGGGATCCTGGCACATGCAAAGCGAGGACTTTAGCCGTTAGGCTACTGTACCAGGACCTCCTGGAACTCTTGATAGTACACACATTAGAAATACAAAGCATCTTAGCATTAATAGCTTCACTGTCCTGCTCCAGCAGTGACCAGAGGATGAGGACTACAGAAACACAGGGCCACACTCAGGGGCTCCCTGTCCTTGGAGTCTGGGGAGGCCAAGGGTCGGAGTGCACACGTCCAACAGAGTGAGCCCCTCCCTATCATGGCCTTTATAGGGGCTTGCGAGGGGTGTGGTTACAGAACAACCCAATACTGCCCCCTCTCAGGTTACAGATGGGCAGAGGGAGCACCTAGGTGTGTGGGGGGGAGTGTCTCCCAAGTTGGTGACTCTGAAGTAAGTAGCTGCCTACCCCACAAGGGAGCAAGGAAGCTGGGCATCTGGGTCTTAGCCTGGGGGGTAAGAGGCCCCACGCTCTGTGGGAACCACAGCCCTCACTGCACTCAGGGCCTCTGTGGCCTAGGCCCGCAACCCCAGCCCCAGTGATACTGACTGCCCCTGGCTGACACCCCGAGCACCAGGAGCCCCATCTCGGTACCCACTTCCCCTTCCTGCCTGGCCTGACCCCTCTCCTCGGGAGGTGCCAAGGCGAGGGGTCAGGACCCCCAGGGGCCTCACCTGTCACATCCTCTGGGACACAGCATGGCAAGGCCCACCAGGACATGGGCGCCCCCGCCCGCGGGTCCAGAAACAGGCGGCGGGGTGGGGGAGCTGCTGGGGGAGGCTGAGTGCGTGCTCCCTGGGGTCAAGAGGAAGCCGGCTTGCATGCCGGTCATGCACAGGCCATGCAGTGCCAAGGGAGCGGCCCCTCCAGGTGACACCTGCCCGCCCAGGTTGGGGTCCCGGATGCAAGACACCCCACTCCTGCCTGCATCCTCTTTCCACCCAGCCTGGTCCTGCTGTATACAGGAAGCGTGCTTGTGGTGCCCTCCAGGGCACTGCTGGCTGCAGCCAGCTCTGGGCCAGCCCTGCCCAGGGCCTCAGCAGAGGAAGCGGCACCACCCGCCTGCAGCCTCAGCCCAGTGGAGAAGAGCCCGCTGAGGACAGGTGGCGATCACTGGCTCCCTGCTCAACTGCAGATGTGGCCGCTGGGTCAAGGGGCAGTTGGAGTGGGTGTGGTGTCCAGGGGCCTGCTCCCAGGATGGGCTGGGCAGGGTTAGGGCAGGGGATGGGGGCAGCCACGAGGCACAGGGTGGCCCAACAGCCTGTCTGCAGACCCAGGAGCTGGTTCCTCCAAGGCTGGGTGGGGCCCTGGTGCCCACTCCACATGCCTCCCAGGCCCACATAGGAAAGCTTTCCCCAGCCACTGTAGGGACCCCAGGGCCTCAGGGAAGGCCCCCCGCGGAGGGAGAAGTGAGCCTGAAGATTCCCTGTCCCCCCTCCCCCCAGGAAGACACGTCATCTGAATCGAGAACAGGGCCTTGGCCAGCCCCCACTGCCTGCCTCTGTGGTTAGGGGCGTTCCAGATCCTAGCTACTTCCTGAAGTCTGGTGCTGTCAGGCTGGGCGCCAGGTAAGTCGGGGCGGGTGGCAGGCGCTGGGGCCAGGAGGCTGCGTCGGTGGGCACAGGTGACCTGGTGGTGTCCAGGTGGGGACTTGGCTGGGGGCTTCTGATCTGGGTCCCCCCGAGACAAAACAGGGTGCAAGTGACCACACATGAGGAGAGGGGCAAGGGCCCACCACCCCCAGCGCAGGAGCTGGGAGAGGGGGTGGGGGCGTTAAGGAGGGTTTGGGGGTCAGGGTCCCAGCTGGGCCCCACCATCACTGGTTCACAGCCTGCCAGGTGCTCAGGCTCTTGATCAGTTCCTGGGTGTGATGTGGGGGCGTGCACACTTCCTGGTTGCCCCTCCAGGGCCCGCCCAGGGAGGAAGGCTAGTGGGGCACAAGGTGGGGTAGGCTGTGGCTAGCCTGGCCATGCGTTGAGGCCCAAGGCCCAGCTGCACCCCGGCCTTGTGCAGTGCCCACAGTGGGCAGCATGGAGCCAGGCTAGGGAGTGCCACACGCTGTGCCAAGAGGGAGGGGTCAGCCCACCCCACACTAAATAAACATCCTAAGTGAAACAGAAAGGGTGCTTTCCTTGGTCTGGGGGGACCAGGAACCCCGAGGGTGGGAGCTGGTGAGGACACGGGGAGTGGGTGTCGAGGAGCTGGTGGGTGGCCACCCCGCCCTGGGGCTCACCGACAGCGTTGACAGCCCAGGAGGCCCATGCTGGCAGGCGGGAGGGTGGGCCTGGTGCTGAATCCCCAGGGACAACGGCTGTGCAGATGGTCGTGTGAGCTTCTCTGTAGCAGGGAGCCAAGGGTTACAGGGACAGCCAGCTGCCCAGGCCACAGGACTGCCCAGGCCACAGGACTGGGGCAGCAGCTGGGAGGCTACCCTATGCCCCTACCCCTAGGTCTGTGGAGGTGTGCAGGCAGCTCCCATGGACAGCAGGGCAACTCCAGAGGACCTCCAGCTTTCTGGAAACACAGTGGGCATCAGCTGGGTGGGGGCTTGCGTCTGGAAGCGCCTGAGTGACCGCCCCCCAGGACCCGTCCATCCAGCTGCTCCACGGCCAGCAGTCATCCCAGGGCACAGCCTGAGGAGGCTGTGGGCTGTCCTGGAGGATCTTGGCAGTTCTGTGCTGCTACGGTGCCCGGCATCTGCGCCCCAATCCTGAGCCTGTGGACCATGCCGGCTGGCCAGCCCCTCCCACCCCAGGGCAGAGGCTCCCGAAGAAGCCTGTGACCTGGGAGGCCGCCAGGCTGGGGAGCAGGGCTGAAGGGAAAGCCCAGAAGGGGCCGGGAGTGACCTGAAGCGGAATGCCTGCTGAGTAGGGCTGAACAGCAGTAGGCCCTGGCTACACAGCTGTGTCCTGGCAGAGGAGCCAGGGCCTACTGCTGGACACCCCCACTTTTCTGACAGGCCATGGCTGAGACCCAGAACTGGCCAAACAGGGCAAGCGGCCCCAGGGCGCGTGTGCATTGGGGCCACAGGGGGCCTGGCTGTGAAAGGCTCACTTTGCCCCAGGCTGTGGGAACATGGGAAGGGAAGGTGGGTGCACAGAAGCCTTCCCCAGCAGGTCAGCCAGAGCCCCCAGGGCCCTACTAGCTTCACCCACAGTTGGCAAGGACACCTGTGCTGGGAAGCTCTGGGCTGACCTCCAGGACTCAGCCAGAGGCCTAAGCTGGCCAGGGTGCTCCTGGTGCCTGGGCCATAGTGCTTCAGGGTGGGCCCGGAGGGCTCCCTTCCCGCAGACCCTCTGTAATGGGACCCTGTTAGGGAAGGAAGCAGGGACCACCCCCTCCAGCCAAGCCGCACTCACTGGCAGTGGCTCCCGGGCTGTCACCTCACCCTGACACACATCTAGCAGGATGGGCCAATGCCTTTGGCTGCTGTGTCACAGCGGCAGCGCCCACTCCTGGTTCCCTGCTCATGTCAGTCTCCGGGGACTGTTGGTCAGTGTTCACAGGGAAGCACCTTCCGCTCAGCGAGGCTCAAACCTGCTGACCGAATAGGAGAGCAATAGATACTGCCGCCCAAGGAGCCAGGAGCTCCGGTGCGGTCTCCCCCGGCTGCGCAAGGCCTCAGCCGCCCTCCCAGGCTATGGAGGAAAGCAGACTCGGGCTCAGAGCCAGGCACCTGGTGGTGCCTGGTGTCACAGCCGCTGCAGCCCACACCTGCCCTGACCAGGCCCTGGGCCACTCTCTGCTCCGTCGCAGTGGGTCTCCATGGGGTGCTGCCAGTGGCTTCTGACACGCTGCGGGGAATCCTGAAGGGCTGAAGGCACTGTTGTCATTTCCTGGTCAGGGAACATGCCAACCCGCTCAGCCGCTGCCGCCGCCATATGCAATGAGTGAGTTGCCTTCAGGCTGTTTTCCACAGCACCATCTCTACCTTTAGAGCCACGTGCGACCTCCGCAGACTGCGCACCTCAGGCCCGAGTGGCTGTGTGTGAACCCAGTCATGTCAGGTGAGAGACCCTCCCACCCCACGTGCCATCAGGTACCGTCGTCCAGCCCGTGCCAGCCCGAACTCAGGGCAGGTAGTGGCCCCAGTGCTTGCCCTGTACCATGCGGACCTGGTTGACCGCAGCCTTGCCTGCTGTGGGGGCAGGGTAGGGAGCAGACATGAGCCCACCTGCCCCCACCAGGAGAACTGGCTGTGAAGGGAAGGCACAGGCAGGGGGCTCAGTCGCACATGAAGGTGTACGGCCTCCCTTCTGCCTGCGTCAGCTCTCTCCTCCAGGCACCTTAGCCACTGGACCAGCAGGTGCTAAGGTGCAGGTCGAGTGCCCACGGGAGCTCCGTCCAGCCTGATGGCACAGCAGGGGCTGCCCTGAGCCCCCCGTGAGAGGTGCCAGTGAGGAAGGGGCATGGCTGGGGTGTGAGGTGGCACAGCCACGTGGAGGACAGTGTGGCTTCCCCTGACCTGGAGCTTGTCCAGGCTGGAGTCTCCGGTCACCCTCCTGGGCCCTGCCTGGGCTCCCAGCCTCAGCCTAGTGTTGCCCCACAGGGAATGCCACCCCCGTGACCGCCTCCATCCCCGTGGCCGGCCAGGGCCCCTCCGCCGAGCACTGCAATGCATCCTTTGAGGAGAGCCGGGTGGTGCTGGTGCTGGTGTACAGTGTGGTGTGCGCGCTGGGCCTGCCCGCCAACTGCCTCACAGCATGGCTCACGCTGCTGCAGGTGCTGCAGGGTAACGTGCTGGCCGTGTACCTGCTGTGCCTGGCGCTGTGCGAGCTGCTCTACTTGGGCACGCTGCCGCTCTGGATCTTCTACATCCAGAACGGGCACCGCTGGACGCTAGGCCTGCGTGCCTGCCGGGCCACAGCCTACATTTTCTTCTGCAACATCTACCTCAGCATCCTCTTCCTGTGCTGCGTGTCCTGCGAGCGTTTCGTGGCCGTGGTGTACGCCCTGGAGAGCCGCGGCCGCCGCCACCAGAGGACCGCCATGTTAGTCTCCGCCGCCATCTTTGTCCTCGTGGGGCTGGTGCACTACCCTGTGTTCCAGATGGAGGAGGAGGAGGCTGGTGCCTGCTTCGAGCCACTGCGCATGAGCGCCACCATCGCCGCCTTCCACTATGCGCGGTTCAGCATGGGCTTTGCCGTGCCCCTCGCCATCATCGCCTACACCAACCACCGCATCCTGAGGAGCGTTGGCCGCAGCCCGGGTCTGACCGCTGCCCAGAAGGCCAAGGTGCGGCGCTCGGCTGCTGCTGTCACGCTCATCTTCCTGTTCTGCTTTGCGCCTTACCACCTGGTGCTGCTGCTCAAAGCCGCTGCTTTCTCCTACTACCACGGGGACCGTGACGCCGTGTGCGCCTTCGAGGCCAGCTTCTACAGCATCTCCGTGGGCTTCCTGTGCCTGGCCACGGTCAACAGCGTGGCTGACCCCATCATCTACGTGCTGGCCACAGAGCACTCACGCCAGGAAGTGTCCCGCATCCACAGTGGCTGGAGGAAGTGGTCAGCCAAGGTGGATGTTGTCAGGCTCACCAGCTCCAGGGACTCAGAGGACACACGCTTGCCTGCCACTCCTGCCAAGGACTGCCCCAGGCACCAGAGTCCCCCAGGGCCAGAGTTGGGTATGGCGGGGGCCAGCACATGAGCCCTGCACAGGCTGGTGGAAGGGTCTGGCTCGGCCAAGCATACCAGGGGCAGGAGGACAGCACGGGTGTCCTTGCAGCCCAGTAACAGATGTTCCCTGCCTTGAGCTGCTCCATCGGGGGTCCTCCGTGTGGCAGCTGACACTGCGCCAGGGTGACATGGAGGCCTGCAGTCTAGCCCGGTTCCCTCTTGCTGCAGCTGGGCCTGGGGATGTAGTGGGGTCTGCATGGACTGTGCAGGGGTCTGGCTGTGGTATTACATCCTAAAGCCCCACTTGGGGCCTGGCATGGGCTCTGGGCTGAGCTGGCACACACTGCAATGCCCACATGCTGGCCATGGGAACCGCAGAGGCCAGCGGTGCTGGCGGACAGCTGGGGGTGTGAGCTGAGCAGCAGAGGCCAGCACAGGCTGCCCACTCAGACAGGGAAGTGACACGGAGTGGAGATCTCCCTCCGTCCCCATAGCTGGCTGATGTGGGCCACCCTAGCTCCCAGGAGCCTTGTCCAGGCCAGGGCATGACTGCCTCAGGGTCTCCATTTATGAAATGCAGCTGTTGGCCCGTACTTTCCCTCAGGGGCTAGCCTTTCCCACCTCACTCCCTCCCCCCAGGTGAGTCTCCTGGTCAGGTCAGAAATAAAGCTACGGGCCCAGCGCGGTGGCGCAGTGGTTAAGGTCCTCGCCTTGCACGCCTGGGATCCCATATGGGCGCCGGTTCTATCCCGGCAGCCCCGCTTCCCTTCCAGCTCCCTGTCTATGGCCCAGGAAAGCAGTCGAGGACGGCCCAAAAGCTTTGGGACCCTGCACCCGCGTGGGAGACCCGGAAGAGGCTCCTGGCTTCGGATCAGCATAGCATCGGGCCGTTGCGCTCACTTGGGGAGTGAATCATCGGATGGAAGATCTTCCTCTCTGTCTCTCCTCTCTGTATATCTGCCTTTCCAATAAAAAAATAATAAAAATAAATCTTAAAAAAAAAAAAAAAAAGAAATAAAACCACAAATGCCTTTTTAGCTGTGATGGCCCTGCCCCGCCTCCTGCCCCGCCTCCTGCCCTGCCTCCTGCCCAGGGCTGGTATTCTTGCATGAGTGAGACCCACCCTGCCTCAGCCCACCCCTCCCCATGCCTGGGATCACAGTGGGGCCCTGGACTTCAGACCACCGGGCAGTGAAGTGGGCGAATCCAGAGGGGAAGTGTGCTGGGTGAGGGATCTGACCAGAGACCCCAGGTATGGGGGGGAAGCTCTCTGGGTACCCAGTGCCAACTCTTGCGGTGCCCCCCCAATTCTCCAACAGCCCCTGGGGTCAGCTGTGAGCAGCCCGACTGGACCCTGCACCCAGGAGCTGGGCTTGCTGGCTGCTGCCCCCAGTGCTGGGCCTCCCTTTACAAATGTCCCCCATGGTTCCCCATTTGGGGCCTGTCACAGCCTCTGAGTTGAGCTGGCACACACTGCAATGCCCACATGCTGGCCATGGGAACCGCAGAGGCCAGCGGTGCTGGCGGACAGCTGGGGGTGTGAGCTGAGCAGCAGAGGCCAGCACAGGCTGCCCACTCAGACAGGGAAGTGACACGGAGTGGTGATCCTAACCCCCGGCTCCTCTGAGAAACTCCAGACTCCAGGATGACTGGGCAGAGCCCGGCACTACAGCACGAGCAAGGCCCGTGCCAGTTTGAGTCCACACTGGCCTCGGCGGCACAGCTCTGCGGTCAGGCTGGGGGTCTGTGCAGGGCTCACGCAGAGCGTGGCCCAGACAGCAATGTAGCCCACGCAAAGCCTTGGCCAGCTGGCCCCACCTGACCTATTTCTTTGAGGTTGCTGGATGCTCCCCGGGGGCCACAGCATCCAGGACAGTGCCAGGCCACAGGCAGGAGCCTGGGCCTCTACCCACATCTCCCATGAGGGTGCAGGGGCCCAAGGCCTCGGTCTGTCCTGGCTGCACTCCCAGGTGTAGGAGGCAGGCTGGACTCGAACCAGCATCCCTACAAGAAGCTGGCGTCAAGGGCAGGGGCGCTATGGCTGCTGCATCAGCACTGTCCATTTGAAGGTCTGCTTATTTATTTTCAAGGCATAGTGAGAAAGACCAACAAAGGAAGGCGACCACAGCATGGAGTCCGGGGCCGCAGCCTCCTCTCCTGGGAGCTTCCTGCCGTCCACGCCCAAAGCGGGTCCGCTTCTGCTCCCTCCAATGTCCGCATCACAGAAGGGCGGGCGGAGAGGGGCCACCACGTATCCGCTGGCAGATGGCCGCCACGTCTGGCCGCAGCCCCGGAGCCCCAAGTCCCGGCCGTCCTCCCAGGCCTGCTCGCAAAGGCGCCCTGGCGTGCGAGGACGGGAGGCCAGGGACGGGCACAGGGGAGGCCAGGGACGGGCAGGGGGGAGGCCAGGGACGGGCAGGGGGGAGGCGTGGGGCGGGGGGAGCGTGGGGCGGGGGGAGCGTGGGGCTGGGGGAGCGTGGGGGGGCAGGGGGGAGCGTGGGGCTGGGGGAGCGTGGGGCGGGGGGGCGTGGGGGGGCAGGGGGGAGCGTGGGGCGGGGGAGGCGTGGGGCGGGCGGGGTGGGGGAGGCGTGGGGCGGGGGGGGGCGTGGGGGGGGAGCGTGGGCGGGGGAGCGTGGGGCGGGGGGGGGGCGGGGGGCGGGGGGGAGCGTGGGGCGGGCGGGGGTGGGGGAGGCGTGGGGCGGGGGGAGCGTGGGGCTGGGGGAGCGTGGGGGGGGCAGGGGGGAGCGTGGGGCGGGGGGAGGCGTCGGGGCGACGTGGGAAGGCGTGGGGCGGCATGAGGCCAGCATGGGGGCCACCGTCGGGGCCGGAACTCGCCCGTCGCGCACGCACACTGCGTGGAAACTTGTTCTTGGGAAGCAAGGCCGGCTGGCACGCACCTGACGTGTCGGGGCGTGAACCCCGCCCCTACGGGGGCTCCGCCCACGGCGGGAGTCCCGGCCGCCCGCCCCTCCCGCGCGCAGCCCGGGAAACTCCGGCGCAGGCGCACTCAGGCACGCGCGCGAGGCGGCCTGGGGGCCTGGGGGCGGGGCCGGCGAGGGCACGTGACGTCCCCAACGGCCGCGCCGCAGCGCGGGAACTAGCGCCGCCGCGGCTCCGCCCCCAGCAGATTTAAACTGGAGGCCCCGCCCCCGCGCTCGGCCAATCGGCGTGCGCGGCGCGCGGCGGCCGCCATGGCGACCCTTTGTGGGCCCGAGGAGCCAACTGGCGCCCCGCCCCGCGCGGCCGGGCCCTCCCTCGGCGGACGCGGCGGCGGCGGAAGGCGGCGGACTGCGTGCGGCGAGGTGAGAGCGGGAGGGCCCGGCCGGCGGCTGCGCTGAGGTGCCCGCGTGCCGCCGTGCTTCCCGTGCGTGGGGCCGTGCTCCCTGTTCTGACCGCGTGTCCTCCCCGTCCTCCTTCCCCGGCTGTCCTCCTCCCCGCGTGTCCTCCCTCCGTCCTCCTCCCCGCGTGTCCTCCCTCCATCCTCCTCCCCGGGTGTCCTCCCTCCATCCTCCTCCCCGGGTGTCCTCCCTCCATCCTCCTCCCCGGGTGTCCTCCCTCCATCCTCCTCCCCGCGTGTCCTCCCTCCGTCCTCCTCCCCGCGTATCCTCCCTCCATCCTCCTCCCCGCGTGTCCTCCCTCCGTCCTCGTGCTCCTTCCCTGCCTGTCCTGCCCGTCTTCCTGCTTGCGTGTCCTCCTCCCGTCCTCCTCCCCGCGTGTCCTCCTCTCCATCCTTCCCTGCCTGTCCTCCCCGTCCTCCTGCCCCGTGTACCCGTCTCCGTCCTCCTGTGTGTTGGCGTCACCCTGGGGCTCTCCGGGGTGTTGGGGGAAGTGGAGTCACGGGGTGCAGGGGCTGTTTTGGTTTTCCCTGTGTCAGAGCCCCCCGTCGGCTGCCTTGGCTTCCTGGCGCTGGCCCGCCGGCCTCCATGGGTGACCGTGCGCCCCTTGGCCAGCCTGCGCTCCCAGGGCTCCCAGCCAGTGGAGGGTCTGACCCCCGAGCCAGCTGGACCTGTGACCCCGGGGGCTTGGTTTGGGGCTGACCTGAAGGTGGCCGTGCGGAGCAACAGTGGACGAGGATGGAGCGCTGGCCTGGCTCTCGGTCAGTGGCTGTGCCCGCTTCAGCGTCTGCACAGGCAGACACAGTCCTCTGTGCTTGACGCACCGTAACACAGGGCTCCGTCAGAGGGAGATTGGGAAAGTGAGGTTGGTAGCCTGGCCAGATTGTGGACAGGTAATAGCAGAGTGATCGAAGCCGCCAGAGTAGGCCCAGCCCCTGGCTGCCCCTTGCTGCCCCCTGCCCTGTTGCCTGGCTCTGGAGCCAGAGCCACCATTCAGGTGTCCTGTGGGAAGCAGGTCGGGGCTCCCAGCTCCTGGGTGCTGTGGGTGAGTGCTGGTGCTGTCCTGGGAGGTGCTGTAGGGGTGACGGGCAGCTGCACACCAGCACTCACCCACAGGTGTCCCACATGTGCCCTTTGGCCCTGCTATGAGCCCCTCCTCTCTGGAAGCTCCCAGTTCTTTGGGGTGCAGGGCTGGACCCCCCATGGTAAAAGGACATTGTGAAAAGCACGGGAGGTCAGGTCCCAGCCGTGAGGGTGAGTGTGGAGGAATGTGGGGACCTGCAAGGGTAGGGCTGGCAGGGGGGAGCCTGTTCTGGCCTCTTTACCTGCATCCTCTGGGCACCCCGAAATGCCTCCCAGCCTGGTGCCTGCTCCTACAGCTGGGAGATGCAGGCAGCCCCGGAGCAGCGGCTCAGGGTGGCGTGGGGTGTGTGTGCATGTCCTCGGCTGTGTGAAGGTCCTGCAAGTTCATCTGACCATGAGAATCACTGGGGTGTCTGAGTGTGTGTCAGAACCATCTGACTTGGGAGTGCCACCAGACAGGATCCACACAGTGGATGGGTCTCCACAACTGGATGGCACAGTGTGTGCCGCCCACAGACCCCTGCTCCTTGCACAGCCTCCCACGCTGAGGCTTCTGGTTGGATTCCAGGCTAGGTCTTTGAGAATGTACTTCACCTGCTCCTGGTCCCTTTATCTGTGCAGGGGGAGCACTGTGCGGGCGGGCTGAGGATGGCTCTTGCAGGGGGAGCACTGTGCGGGCGGGCTGAGGATGGCTCTGTGCAGGGGGAGCACTGTGCGGGCAGGTGTGCAGGGTAGGGTGCCTGTCCCCTGCAGCTTCCAGCTTGCTTACTGGTTTCTGTTGGTCCCCGCAGGACAGCATGTTTGCACGGGGACTGAAGAGAAAGTGCGCGGAGCCCGAGGAGGCCATCCCTTCCTACAGTCTGCAGCGACAGTCACTCCTTGACATGTCCCTGGTCAAGCTGCAACTGTGCCACATGCTGGTGGAGCCCGACCTGTGCCGCTCGGTGCTCATTGCCAACACCGTGCGGCAGATCCGAGACGAGATGGGCCGTGATGGCTCGTGGTGTGTGCCAGCGCCCCCAGGCCTGGGCCGCGCCCCCCTCGACCACCTGGTCTCCACGGATATCCTGTGCCGCCCAGCCAGGGAGCTGGGCGGGGAGGGCCCCATGGCTGAGCTATCCCTGGGCAGGACCGTGGCCCAGGCACCCAGGGACACCGGGAGCAGCGGCTGGGGTGTGGGCAGCCCCCCGGAGAATAGAGGCGGCTTCCAGAAGTCGCTGGACCACATCTTTGAGACGCTGGAGAGCAAGAGCCCAGGCTGCGTGGAGGAGCTGTTGGATGTGGACAGCCCCTACTATGACCTGGACACGGTGCTCACAGGCATGATGGGCGGCCCCAAGGCCAGCTCCTGTGACGGGCTGGAGGGCCTGGCCACTGGCACCGTGCCCGCAGGCTCCAGCTGCAGGCCGGACCTGGGCGACCTGGAGCACGTGGTGGAGATCCTGGTGGGGACGTGAGGCAGCCCAGCCTTCCAGCACGGCTGCTCTCCGGCAGGTGGCTGTTCCCGGTGAAGGCCACCCAGTCCTGGGCCCTGCTGCCGGCATGTCCCGGCCGTGGAAGCCAGCGGAGCTGCCAGCTGTGTCCACCTCGCTGGAATTGGGGTTGGTGACTTCAGAGCTACGTTGTATGTGGGGCCGGTACAGTGTCTTACAGTGTATTTTTACAGTTTTTATACTTTGTAGATCTTTCTCGGTTGTTTTCTATGAATGTCGGGGATGGCTGTCCCTGTCTGCCACGGCTCTGTGGCCGTGGCCAGTGGCTGTCGCTTGAAGTCCCCATGAGGCCGTGTCTTGGCCCCAATGGGTGCCGAGATGGGACTGGGGCACTGCCGTTCCGGGTCGCCCGGTGCTGCTGCAGAGGGGCCGCAGTCTGGGTCTCCAGATGGACACCCTGCCCTGACCCTCAGCCACAGGTTTGTCTCCTTTGAGGATACGGCTGCTGTTTAAGATCGGTGACATCATCTTACTAAATTCATGTAACAAAGTGGACGCGTTGGTTCATTTCACAGTGACTGAGGGAGGGGCTGGGCCTGGCTCCCCTTCTGGTCGCCACCGGCCAGGAGCTGGGTTTTCAGCCACAGGAGGTTTGGGGGCCAGCTCGGGGGGCCCTCTTGCCCTGTGCGGTCAGCCGGCAGCTGCTTCTGTGGAAGAGCTATACGAGGTTTGGCTCCCCCTGTAGCATTTCCGTGTTCTCCACGTGTTGCTTGTCCGTTTTCCTGGGGCGTAACAAAACAGGAGCTGTAGAACCCTCCCACCCACTGGTTTACTCCCCAAATGGCCACAAGAATAGAGCTTGGCAGGTCCCAAAGCAGGGGCTTGGAGTGTGCTGGCCTCACAGGCCCAGAGTTTTGGGTCATTTTACTGTTTTCCCAGAACTGGTGTCCATATGGGTTGCTGGCACCACAGGCAGACACTTAAGCTACTGTGCCCTGTAGAGTCTTTATACCCTTAAAAGAGCAAAACATTTAGGAAGAGCTGGCTCGTTGGGGGCACAGCTGGCCAGGTTGCCACTGCTCAGGTGCCAAGGACATGCCATGTCTTAGCCCTCCCCTGGCTTCTCCGCAGGCCAGTGGCCCCTTGTTCAAAGCTCAGCAGGTTCAGGTTATGTTCAACTTGGTGGCAGACACTTGTGACCAGCCGCGAGCCATAACTTCCCCAGTGTCGCCAGGAACTGACACTGGTGCCAGCACCCATTCAGGACACAGTCACGGCACCAGTGTCATCTGATCCCCGCTCGGGTTCACCTGCTTGGCCTTTGTGCTAATGGGGCCGGTCAGGACTGTCCATAGACGAGGGGAGTGGCGGGGGGCGCTTTCTGTTACCTATAGGGGCACATGGAGCCTTCTAGCCCACGACCTTCTACCATGGGGCTCTCCAAGGGTACCCAGGCAGTGGGAGTCAGCAGGCACGGGACTTGAACATCAGCGCTGTACTGGCCATGGGTTGGCCACCTGCCCCCCACCTGTAAGGGTTGGCCAGTCGGGGGTGAGTGGAGCGGGGCAGGGGCAATCCTGGGCACTGAGGCCAGCTGGTGTCTGAAAGCCGCCTTGGCGTGCAGCTCGTGTTCCCTGGTAGCGGCAGCTAGGTGGTCAGCTGTCACACCTCCCCCACGGCCCTTGGCCTGCTCCCCCATACACACAGGCGTGTCCTGGAGCCCCAACAAGGGGTGTCAGGGCAGTGGCTCAGGCCCTACACCCACCTCCACCCTGACCCACTGAAGCCCATTGCCAGTCCCGCTTCTGGGGTGCGCCGTGTGGGCGTGGCCAGTGGCCCTGGGGAAGCCTGCTGTCCTGTCTCTGTGCCTCCAGGCCCTTTTTACTTGGCATCCTTGGAGTCCCAGCATCATGCTCTGAGCCCACGCGTGGCCATGGCTCTGGGATCTTTATATATTTTTTTTAAGATTTAGTTATTTTTATCGGAAAGGCAGATATACAGAGAGGAGGAGAGACAGAGAGGAAGATCTTCCATCTGATGATTCACTCCCCAAGTGACCGCAACGGTTGGTGCTGTGCTGATCTGAAGCCAGGAACTTCCTCCAGGTCTCCCTCATGGGTGCAGGATCCCAAAGCATTGGGCTGTCCTCGACTGCCTTCCCAGCCTACAGGGAGCCGGATGGAAAGTGGAGCTGGCAGGATTAAAACCGGTGCCCACGTGGGATCCCAGCGCGTTCAAGGCGAGGACTTTAGCTGCTAGGCCATGCCGCCAGGCTCTGGCTCTGGGTTCTTTTCTCTGCTGGACTTTGTGTCTTCTGAGTCTCCATGGTCCGGTGCCTGGCCAGCTCTCCAGCCAACCACGAGGCCCCTCGTGTCACTACTTGCTCGAGGCGAGGGACACAGGTAAGCCTGGTGCCCCAGGCCTGACAGGGAACCCTGGGGTACCCCGACGCCAGTCCTAGCCAGTGCTCCCCTCCTTCCACCCATGACCCCAAGGCCCTCTCCTTGTGGGAACTGTCCCCTGCTGGTCCCAGTCTGTGATCACGGTGGACATATGCAGTGAGATCACGGCCTGCCCAGCACTCTCCCAGGGCTGGGGCAATGCTGCAGTCAGCTGCTTGGGCTGGCCCCACTAGCTCCTGCAGGTTCCTGCTGCTCAGGGCACGGCTGTAGCCAATGCAGCTTGGGCAGGCTGCCATTCGTCTCCCTTGCTGCTGTCCTTGCCGGTCACCATGTTCAGTGCGGACTGAAGCTAAAATGAGGTGCCCAGCAAGCAGAGGGCACGGTGGTCTCGGGGTCCCTCCTACCTCCTGGTGATGTCCACGGCCTCAGGCCTAGACCTGGACTGTGTGAGTTCCTTAGGGGGTCAGGAAGAGGGAGGCGGGGCTGCAGAAGGACAGGCTAGCCAGGAAGGACAAAGTGACTGACGCCTTCCAAGCCGAGCCAAGGCCCTGCTCAGCGTCTGGCAGACCCCCACAGGGTTACAGCTGAGTGCCAGGCCCCTGGGGCTTGCTACAGGAGCCTGGGTGCTAGGGCAGGGGCAGCTGGGCCCAGAGTCTTGTGGTGATTGTAATCCCCCTGAGTGTTCCTGGCCAGCAGGGCAGGTCAACAGCCATGGTGCCTCGCTCCAGTGTGGGCTGCCTCTCCTTGCTGCGACCACCATGGGGGTGAGAAGACAGCAGCCTAGAGAGGCATGACTGCGAGTCCTGACTGGCTTCTGTGGCCTGCCCAGACCCATCGCAGGCTCTCAGCTGTGGGCAAGAGTCCCGAGACCCAGGGCGATAGGTCTGAGCCCTCTCTGACTGGTGCCTGTGCGAGGATGGGGGAAGGTGAGGTGTGGCATCAGTTGTTGCTGCAGGGCACCTGGGTAGCAGAGATGTGGGAAGGACAGCGCCCCCTGGAGGTCCAACCTGGAGGAAGGCAGAGGTGGGGTGGCAAGAATGCACAGCTCCTGTGCGAACAGCAGGTGATCCCTGGGGAGTGTTCACGGGGAGACCTAGGAGGGGGCAGGGGACTCCAGATGGCAGCCCCCTTCTCCCTGAATCCCTCAGCTTTAGGCTCTGAGACCTCGCAGGCAGGAGAGGGGTCTTCCAGGGACATACGGTAGGGAGAGGCTTGGGGCTCCGGGGTGTAGCGGATAGGCAGGTGGCTCCTGAGATGGGTCTCCAGGAAGACACCTGTCACTGCCCCTGCTTGCCAAGCACCCGTTGAGGTCCACAGCTGGGCCTCACACCCCAGCACCAGGGGGGCAGAACATAGCTGGGGGTGGAGGTGGGGAGTCCTCAGGCCATGCAGGGGGCTGCAGTCCCTCCTCGCCTGTGATCACAGGGTGAGCCACTTTCTCTGGATAGGTGGGGGCATTGTGGGACATGCAAGTCGGCCCTGGGCGCTGGAGTCTCCACCCCATCCATGTGCCCAGGCCCCACCCTCGGGCTCACTCAACTGGATGGATGCACAGGGCACAGGGCCCAGGGCCAGGCCAGGCAGGCATGCACAGGGCAGTGCCCCTCTCATCAGACTGGCTGCTCCAGGCTGCGGGGGGCCCCTTCCCGGCAGTGCTGTCCTCAGCTCGCAGCTGGCTGACCGCCTAGAGGTGGGGCCAAGCAGCAAGAGCTGCCCAGGGTCGGCTGGCCTATTGTTGGCTGCAGCCTTGGAGTGTGAGCACTTTGTTCCCATGTATGCACACGGGCCGCAGTGTAAACGTGCATGTGTGTGACTGTGTGTGTCCTTCGGTCCAGGATGCAGTCTTGAGCTGCCCCCTTTGGCAGCGATGACCTACCTGCCTGTGTGCGTAGGGATTCCCGTGCCCGCCCGTGTGGGACCGAGTCCTGCGCCCACCCGCAGGCTTGCCCCAGCTCAGGTCGCAGCCAAGCTCCTTGGCCCCCTGCACACTGCCTGAGGACCGTCCGGGGAGGCTCCCAGAACCTCACTCCAGGCGGAAATCCGACTTGGTGGCTTGCACTGCTCAGCCCTGCTCCAGGTCCGGTGAGTGTGGCTCCCAGCTCCCTGCCTTCTCTGCGGGAACAGTGTTTGTCCGGAAAGTTCCTTCTGCACTGACCAGCTCGCACCTCATCTTCTGTGTGGGGCAGCCTCCCCGCCCACACAGCCCCTGGGGTGGGTGCAGTGGGTGCCCGTCCCCAGGCTCCTGGTGAGAATGAGCAAGAAGGATGACTCCAGCAGTGCTGACCAGGCACCTTGTGAGCACTGTGTCCCCGACTCCACCCCTCTCGGGTTGGGAGGGCAAGGCGGCGCGGGCACGAGCAGGTGCTGGGAAGCCGTGGGCTCCTCCCCGGCCAATGGGCTGCGCGGGGCGGGGCGCGGCCGGTCCGCAGTGTCCAGCAGCTGCAGCTGCGGAGGCAGGAGCCGGACAGCGACGGGACGCGCCGGGCGGCCGGCCCCAACGCCGTGATGTGCGACTGCTTCCACGCCTTGCTGCCCTGGCCGGGGGCCTCCGGCGGCGGTGCGCCTTCCTGCCTGCAGCCCGCTGTGGGGCGGGTGGGCTCGCCTGGGCGCGCATGGGGCCCTGCCTCTGCCTTCTCCGTGGCCCCCAGCTCCAGCCCAGTGCCTGCCTCCCACCCCCTGCGGGGTCCCTGCCCCACCCCTGCATCCTCCTCTGTTCTGGGGTCCCTGCGTCTCTCCTCTCCACTCTGCTCTGGGGTCCCCATTGCCTGTCCTGCTCCTCCGTGAAATCCGCCTCTGCTCCAGAACACCTGTCCCTCCTCCCATCACTTTGCTTGTCTCTCTTGTCATGGCCATCGGGGGGGCCTGTTTGCTGGACCCTGGGAGGTGGCTTTGGGAGAGGTGTTGCTTGCTGGGAGCAGGTTACTCATCCTGGTGGGTGGGAGAGGCCAGAGGCCAGGCTTGCCCCCTGGACCTGCTGCAGGGACAGTGGCTGGGCTGGCCCAGAAGCCAGGGCTGCTTGCTGTGTGGTGGGGTTCCTGGTTGAGGGGCTGAGTTGGGGTGCCCCAGTGCTGGGAATGGTGAGGCAGCTATTGCTGTACGGATGACCCTCGGGGTGGCCAGTGCGCTCCTTTGTGCCTCTGGCTACCGAACAGTCCCTGGTGGCCACACCCAGG